TATGAACAGCTTCATACAATCCCATACGTTCTATTTTGACACATAGTTACCGCCTAGCGTTTTCGCGTCCGTGCGAACGCTCGCTAAAAATTGAGCAGTGTGCGCACCTTCATATAAACATTTGTGCGATAGTTTAGAGTAAGGTGTGCGCGCGCTCTAAGAACAGATACCGGCGTCTGTTTGTCTGCTTATAAATCGATATATGTTGACTCACAGCTAAAATTGAACCCTATCCAAATTACTTATTCATTCAATTTATATAACAATGATTTACTTTTGCTTATCTTTTGCCAGTGACTTCGTCTGTGCGGAATTTGAAATAACTAGGTTATTGGCCTAAGTATTCTTTAAGATTGTACTCTACATCTATGCTAAATTTTATGCGAGATTCGTTAAGACGTTTTTGAGATACAAGCAACGTTCATCTTTTCATTCAATTATAACTAAATTAGGTTACGCCCGCGACTCCGTCCGCGTGGAATTAAAAAAAGAAAAAATACCCTATGTGTTCTTCCAGACTATCCTCGACATCTATACCAAATTTCATCTGAATCCGTTCAGCAGTTTAGGCTTCAAACTCTAACAAACATCCATCCATCTAAACTTTCGCATTTATAATATTAGTACGATTATTAAATATAAATTGAGTTCTTGAATAAGTTTTGTTTTTGTTTGTTAATGTAGCGCTTGACTACGAACCTATCTTAATAAAGGGATAAAGCAGTCGAAAGGTACGAACTAGCAGAATAAGTCGCTGTTTACTCTATTTTTGAAGACCCTACTTTCCTTCTAAAATCCCCACTTTTTATTTAGTCATTCTTTAGTTAAGGTATTTGGTACTTTAATTTTACGATAATATAGAACAGAATAGTAAATTTAAAACCAATTTTTAATAGAGATGTTACATTTCCCTTTTTAGTTTTAGCGCTGCTCTTTCGACACTAAGTGCTTTTATATTTCGAGTGACTGTTATCTCGGATTGAATATTGATTAAAGTCAGCTTTTGGGTCAAGCGTTCGTCGGCAAGCTGCCAACAGTTTTCAAATGCTACATTTATCATCTGAGATTCCAATTTTCTGTATGAAAAATGATATATTTTTGACAATTTAACTTGGATTGAGTTAAATAGCGTTATTGTCAACATAATTATGCTTTTCTTTAGTATGTTTAATTTTTTTAATTCTACATATAATAAAATTGGAATGTCTGTTTGTAATATCAAATAAAAATTTCAGATTTCAGGTATATTTGTGTATATTTCGGGATGTATTTGCGTTGCTAATATCGAAAATTGCATTTAAATTTTTGTCTGTCTGTCCGTAAGCCGCAGTTGTTCCGGGTAATCTCCGAAACGGCTGGGCCGATTAAGACCGGACTTTCGCTAAAAGGGTATCAGACATAGACTTATAGGCTACTGTTTTATCTTATTATTGCGTGGACCACGTCGCAGGCAACAGCTAGTTTTCAAATAAATCCTTTAAGGGGTTTTAAGAGATATATTTAAAAATAAATTTTCTTTCCATATATATAATACTAGCTGTTTCCATGCGACTTCATCCGCATAAAATTATGAAAATTTTATTTTATTGTTTACATTTGTCAAACTATCAATTACAAATGTCCAAATGACATGACATGATGACAATCTTGCTTCCTTAATGTTGGTAGTAACTTATGGTCTCTTTCCCACATTAGGGTCTTTATCCAAAATCATTACCCCTTAAGTTTAACGGCGTGAAAATATAAAGCTTAAAGCGTGACGTAAGTGTAGGGCTTTTTATTAAGAAAGGAGTAATTCAAAAATATGCTGTGATTGCTGACATCTTAGGCAACAAAGAAGTGTGTGTTTACGCTTTATTATAATAGTATAGATTCTTTGTAAAAATACCTTTAGATATAGTATTTAATTATCAAGTGATTGAGATAAAAAATCATCAGTGCGTAAACTTTTCGGCCATATTGTCTAACGGATACTTTCGCTACGGATGTACCGACCTTGGTAACTCTATAATAACTGTTAATTTACTAAAACCGCTCGATCAACATTTTATTGTTCACGTAACGGTTTCAATTCCACTGCACTGTAGTATTCTTATCTGTTTTTTTTTGTAAATAAATAGGAATCAAGTTAAAATTGTATGTAAATAGCTACTGCTCTCGACTTCGCTTGGATGTTAAATATATAGCCTATGTTACTGATGATAACGTAACTTTTAACGGTGAAACAATTTTTATAATCGGTCCAATAGTTTGAATTATTTCAATACGTACAAAAATACTAATCTTTCCTCTTTATATTAAGGCCCTGTCCAACCATTTCGTAAATTGTCCGATAACAATACATTGAGTTTATGTGATGGATATATCGGATTTTGTTCCCTTATGACAGTGACGTCATTTAAGCTATCTGAGCATCTATCAGCCAATGGTGCTAGTCCAAGTATAAAACCCTCAAATAATTAGACAAAAGACTGAAGAAGTTAGTCTAGAAAATTCTATACGTAACTTTTTAATTACATCAAAATATACTTTAAAACACTTAATCCTTTTCGCACTACCGGGTACAAGACAATTAGTATAATGTTACCTGCAGGAACGATGCCCTATGAATGCTGTCCGTACAAATGATGGACACTATCTGCTCTGTTTCCACGTAGTTCGCCACTTTGCCGCCGGGTTCGATACCACGACGATTGTACCTATACAGTTTATAATCTGACGATATACCACAAATTGTGAACTATGACTATGCATTTAATTTCTACTTGTTATAAGATAACTAAAAAAAATTACATGAAAAACCAAACATTGATCTTTGAAAAAAAAATCATTTTCGTCCGACTAAAACGCGACAGGAGTGTTGTGACGTCATCAATCAAAAACAAAGTATTTGATTGGTTCACAAGTTTATCATAAGTCAAAAAGTGATTGAATTCACCTTTTATTTACTTCGATCAATAGCGGTGTGCTTCAGAACTGAGCGAGGTTTTGTTTTTAATTATTAAATTACGCTACTAAATCATATTATATTAAAAAAAACTTTATAGATATGTTTTTATAGTAATAAAATATACAAAAAACTAAATGCATCGTATTTCGTTATATCTTTTTAATTTCCGAAAAATTTGTCTACCAGAATATGTAGTAAACAGTATCCACATCTTAACATACATACCTAGTGCCAGCTTGATACCTAGACCGTCTAGATATGAGACCTAATGTGAATGTATCATCACAAGAGTTTCCGCTTGCTAGAGACTCCACATTGAGGGGATTGGTGTCAGCATCCACTGCTATCTGCGCCAAGTGGACATAGCCCTGGATCACTGGTAGGATCCATTCATCACATTGTGGACTCTGAAAGAAATTTCTAGATTAAAATACTGCAAAAGTATTTTATTAAGCAAATATTGTTTTATTCAATAATTTTAAAAAATGTTAAGGTTAAATGTCTTATTAGTTTAGTGTTTGTTTTATCTATCTCCAGAATGGTGAAGGATCTGGATGAAATTTGACAGAAATGCACATTGGCAAAAGATATAGACCAATAATAAATTATTTTGTTTATTCCATTCGGAAGGAATCACAGACAAAAGCTAGAGGAAAAACATTTCAAGATGTTTAATAAAACAAGGGGATATTGTAGTTCCTACATCGATATTCCACATGTTATTTTTAAAAAAAAGTTTATGAAAATGAAACAGAAATAGAAACTATAGTTTAACCTTATTTCATGTTAAAAGTTTTAAAATTTTACTTTAATTCTAGCTGTTCCTCTTCTTCATCTTCATCCACATGCAGTTATCAAGATTTTATTTTATTGTTTAAGTCAAAAAAATTACATAACATTATGACAAAGCATTGCTATTTTACTTCCTTTATGTTGGTAGCTTGTGGCTTAGTCCCTTTTCGACTTTAGGTTTTTTATCCGATCTATTTACCCTCTAACCTTAATAGCAAAAATTTATAGCCTAAAGCGTGACGTAAGTGAAGGGGTATTTATTAAAAAAAAATTGCTTTGATTGCTGACATATTACGCCACAAAGTAGTGTGTGTTTACGCTTTATTTTATTAGTAAAGAAGTAAAGATGAATACCATGCAAGTATGTTTACAGTTAATGAGTACTTTGTATGTCATATATTATTAAAAACAATAACTCACATCCAAAGCGATGATATCCCTCAACATGTGTTTATTCCAGAAGAATCTATCATCAACATGTTTCCACCATCTTGTTATATCGGTGACTGTTTTCCCTTCAGATTCCTCACTTTCCAGAATCTTCTCTATTTCGTACTGCCGCTGTAGACTGTTTGTGATATCTAGAGTACGTGAGTAGTAAAAACTCTCTGCATCGTCGAATATTTTATGTAATTCATCGGTTAGACGTTTCTCGAAGCGTTCAGCTAGTTTTGGATCCCGTTGCTTCTTAACTGTCTGTTTTACCTGTTGTAAATGTAATCATTTGCATTTGTGCTCATTATATTACACGCCCAAAGGGGTACTTATTGTTGTTACTTTGTATAGATGTTTGTATAATTTAATTGCAATAAATAAACTAATATTATACAGAGAAAAGTTTTGTAGTTTTTATGTATTGAAATAACTTAAAAACTACTGGACCGATTTAAAAAAATCTTTCACCATTAAAAAGCTGTTATCAGTGAGTAACATAGGTTAAATTTTTTAAGATCATGCAGGTGAAGTCACAAGCAAGCTAGTTGTTTTTATAATTACATGTATGACATATCTTGAGGTTAAGGTATTTTTGTATGTATGAATGTAACCTATTCCCAACTCCAGCACTGGCTATAAAATTTTTAATAAATTTACTTTATTTATATTGTTCTCATTGAAATTATTTGGTAATGTAATGAAGGTAAAAGGACTGAAGCCTGCCACACTTTACACTCGAGTTTTAACTGAACAATTGAACTGTACAGTTTCTGTATGTAGTGTTTTTAACAAAAGGAAGATAGCTATAATGTACCTGTGTAGCCGCATGCTGAGTAGTGGTCTTGATAGTGTTGCTAACATTCTTCACGGCCCCCACAGTCTTATTCAGGAATGCAGAATTCTCAAACAATCGACTACCCATCTTTTTATTGGCTGTTTTATTTGAACTTTGCATAGAAGTACTTGAATTATGTTTTGTGCACGGGCACAAGTCCATTTCTTGGTTCGCAACGCCCATATTTAAGAAACATATCGATTTTACTTTATAAATAGTATGATGGAAATAAATTTGACCTACTGGTACACTCTCTTTTATTATCATTAAGCGAGGTTCATATATTGTGGAATGTTCTACTTTGCCTATTATACCTTCCGTTATACCAAGACATTCTATATCTTCGATATCTGATAGGTCCCATGCTGAAAATTAAATAAAAAATGAGGATTGACGTAATCCCAATATGATACATTCTAATATCAAAGCGCGTAAGTTTAAATTACTGCTTTAAAAAGTTTTTAGAAGGGTAATATTTTAGAAGTCAACATTTAAGGAAATATTGAAAGAAAAAGAATTACCTGATCGAACTGAAAAAGCGCCTGTAACGCGATTCCACCATAAACTTGATTCGTTTCGTACAAATATATAATAAAGTTCCGACCTAAACAATTCCATTTTGGGTAAATTTTATTTCACGTTCGTTTTCTTTGCTAATAATTTCATTGTGTTTATTGTTGTTATAATTTGTATCCAATTTGACGTTTTTTAATCGAATAGGGAAGGGACAGGACCGACAGTTATTTTCCATAAGTTGGCAGTGGTGACCTGTTTATGTTTCGTTTACACATATATAGTATATATTAAAAATAACATTATTTTATAAAGTGTTTACTTAATTTAAAGAAAAGTCGACATTAAAATACTGAAAAAAACACTATTAATTTAATTTTAAATTTGAAACAAATACCAATGTGTGAAGATAATCGACAGATTTTCCAAAAAAAAATTAACAGTAGTAAGATAGTGGAATTAGAATATTGATAACTTATAGATTTAAAACATAATCGTGTCTTAAGATTTTTCTTATATAAATGTCTGTCAAAGACTTGAGTCATCAGAAACGCCGTCACTATAGAAAATTTTGCGTGAAACGAAACGTTAATGACGCTCTGTTCGATTCCTTTATGTTGGTCAAAACAAATTTCCGGTTCCATTAAATGACGATTTTAGCGTATTTTATAATAATTTTTAGTTTTCCTTTGATGTATTTAGAAACATGGATTGGCAATTAACTTGTCGAGTATGCTTAGAAACTGGTGATATGGTATCCCTCTTTGATTGGGATGAAAATAACGAACAACTCGCTGAAAAGTATTTCTACTGCAGCGGTATTAAGGTATGGAAAAATTGCCACACAAAATGGTTGCGATGGCCACCCTGTAATTTTTTCGTACAATAATGTTGCTATATTGTTTTATTTGTAATGTCTTGCTGATTTTCTGCTGACATCCCAGAATCAATTTTTTAATTTTGTTGATGTTTTTTCAAAAACTTTTTAACATTTTTAGGTTACTAAAAGGGACATATTACCGACGCTAATATGTTTGAATTGCGTGGATCGCTTAACGCTTGCTTATCAATTCAAACAACAATGTATTTCATCAACGGATACATTGAAAGAATGTCTCGAAGAATTTTTGAAGAGCCAAGCTGAAGTTTCCGCGCCAAAGAGAGAAAGTTAGTTGCTTCTACTATGTGAATTATAGAAAACTGCAATTTTCCTTTAGGCTAATTTTCATATTGTAATTTATAAAAGTCAAAACTCAATTATGTCACCAGGCATAAAACCATCACACTAGGCCAGTATAGTTAGTATTGCTAAATAACTGGACTGGTATTCAACTGGCATAATGTGAATACTAAGGCCCAGTGAGTCCATGAAAAGGCTTAGAGTGAACTGTGCATCATCTTATTTTTTTAAACAAATGTTTTCAGCCAGTGAAACTGAAACAATTACAATAAAGCAAGAGAATGGATTGCTTCTTCAATATGATCTTCCAGTGGAACATGACCCGCAAGCACAATGGACAAGAACTCTCACAAAGACACCAACAACCACTGTTGTTACTAAATCACCTGGTCCTAGAAAACGGGGTCGGCCAAGAAAATATCCTAATGAACAAGGACAAATTGGTAATTATGCTAAAAGTATTAATTCACATGTCTGAACTAAACTTTATAAATGAATAGGCAAAGAGCTATTGTGCCTATCTGTTTTACCCCATTTCGATTGACTGTAGCAGTTGTGAAAGTAGGATTTTAACTAATAATAGATAGCTTTAATTATCACTGACAGGAATTTCTAAATGGGAATGAAACAAATATTGTAATTTTCAAGTTACCCATTCATTTATATAGATCAATAGTTAGAAGTTAAGAAAAAATTTTATATTTGTAATTTACCTGAGGAGCCTAAGTTTTCTAAGCTATGTTCTACAATTGTACAAAATTTCATCAAGCATTAAAACAGCTTAATAGAATTAAGCTGTTTTAGATACATAGTAACAAACATCCATCCATCCAACATAATTTTCACATTTATAATCTCCTTTAGCATCCCTTAAGCATATCTTTCAAACAATCCATATATACTTTCTCCCTCTACTTTTCAGTTACTATAATTGTACAGTGAAATAACAGAATTATCTCTTTTAGATATTTCTCCATACACACGCAAGAAGCAAAAAGAGAGTGGAAAAGAACCACAGTCCCTTACCTCTATGCTGGCGTCAGGCACATTTGAGCTTAAAGAAGAGCCAGTAGATGATGAAGAGGGGTTTGAAGCAGATCGTAAGTAAAACATTATATTAAGGAACTAACAGAATAGAAACCACTACCTAAACTGTCTCCCGGTTTCTCCCATTCTCCCCAAACTTTGCTGCTATGGGTTTCTGCTAAGGAAAATTGTTTATGTATCTTTTTATGTTCTTGATTTATTTATTATATCTGTTATACAAAAACTAGGCAGAGACAAACTAATAAAAAAAGAACTATATTCCAATAAGAATAGTAATTGTCATTTATTGTTATCTACTGTGAAAAAAGTATAGCCTTTTAGTATGAATTTTGAAATACCTTAGTTAAAATAATTGGTTTTAATTTGTTTTGAGCCATATTTGTGTGGACAATCTGCAAGTGTTATAGTTAAAGTTTGTTTTTTTTTAGAATTTGACAACAGTGACCCAGACTTTGTGCCTGTTGATGAAGCAGACTCGGAGCCGGAAATTAAAAAGGTAAATATTTATCTATCTACACTAATATAAAGAGGAAAACTTTCATAAATTCTTGTACCATTAAAAGCTGTTTACATTGAGTAATATAGGCTATAATTTTAACTATTGTTTAATTCCACGTAGACGAAGTCGCGAGCAACAGCTAGTCAAATGTAAAGATATACATCAATACTAATATTATAAAGAGGACAGATTTGTATTTTTGTATGTATTAGAACAACTTAAAAACTAATAGACCGATTTCATAAATTCTTGCAGCATTAAAAGCTTTATTACTGAGTGACAGAGGCTATGTTTATTATATTTCTCGCAAGCGAAGTCGTGAGCAACAGCTAGTTTAGTAATACTTGTGCATGAACCAGAAAAAAAATATTGACATAGAAAGTATTTGTTTTTGTTTTTGAAACATGCATTGCTTTATTAAATTTAATTATTCATACTATTTGTTTGAAATTGTATATTCTAATATTCGAGAGTAGTTTTATATCTATATAAAATGTTTCATTTATCACTTTGTTTAATTTATTATCTCTATTTAGTATTCAGGACCGCGCCGTCGTGGTAGACCTCCCAAGGTTCAGACTGAAACAAAAGAAAAGAATCAAGATGGTGAAGATGTTCTCCTGAAGGAGACGATATTGGCATTCTCGGAGCCAATACCTGACCATATACTGAACCCTAAGCCAAAGAAGAAGCGGTCTTATATGCAGAAGAAGAAATATAATTATGAAAAGACGTAAGTTGATTATTTTTTAATGTATGGATAAATTTACATGAGTAGCTTTCGCCCGCGACTTAGTCCTGAATTAAGAAAAACGAAAGTTGAGTAGCCTATGTGTTCAAGACTATCCTCTACATCTATACCAAATTTCATCGATTCGTTCGGCCGTATAGTCTACAAACTCTAACAAACATCCATCCATCCAAACTCTCACATTTATAATATTAGTATGAAGTATGATATGATTGGTTTTTTGATAGTTTCCTCTCGGGCTATCGACTACTTCTACAAATATTTATTGTTAAATATGTTCATTAAATGAAAGCAGAGTTTTATATTTTAGTTATTTATTTTTATTAATGAAATTAATTACCATGAACAGATACAGTCACATTTTTAAGTTTTTGACAAGAAGCAACATGCTGGAAAAAGAGAAGTGAATAAATATAAAAGTGTTGCTATGTTACAAAAAACTTAAATTACTAAGATTGCACAGACTATAAAAAAAATACATGTTTAATGTGTATTGAACAAAATATTTTCCAATCATAATAAAAGGCATAGTACGTTTACCTAAGAGAGTTTCAATTTAATTTAACGTAAACAGTTTTTATTTATTCTGTTATTTTTTCACGCGATTTATTCTGCTTCTATTAAAAAACTTAGTAAGTATACTATGTGTAATACTAACATACTATTTCTAATATAAATGCAAAGGCATGAATGGATATATGTTCTACGTAAAATATGTCACAGATGAAATATAATATGGAAGAACACATAGGCTACTTACTATTTTTTTTATTACAAGCAGACTAAATGGCACTAAAAATATCAAAATAATCATATGATTAACTAAACCTGTGCAATATTTCAGACACACATGTGAGACTTGCGGCGCGTCGTTCACTTCCAATGCCTCGCTGCAGGCACATATACGACGACATTTGGGCATCAAACCATTTGTATGCAGGTATATACGTAAACTACGACATTTCCTATAATCGAATTTAATATAAATGACAAATTTAACTTATTAAAAGCAGACATGAATATTTTATAAATGTACAATCGCGGAAATCCGCGGTGTCTCTTCAGGAAAAATTGTCTTGTTCATTGCAACGAGTGTAAAGAAGGTTTTTTTATAACGTAAGGTGGCAAATGAGCAAGTGGCCACCTGAATCTGCCAACATGGCGAAGTGACCACTGCCCATATACACTGGCAATATAATGCATCCGGCATTGCCTACCCTTAATCGACGGATTAGGTAATGCACATAAAGAGGATATTTCATCTTCCTGTGCGTTTCTTTCACCGTCAAATCTATGTTCCCTTCCCATCCTATTCTTCGGAAAAAGGGTGGGAATGAAAAGGGACTCAAGTGCTTCCGGTACCATACTCTTGACGCCTGTGTTGTGTGGTCGTGGTTTTGCTGGGGGCGAACCCCATTCGAGCGAAGATGTTAAAACGGGCTCTACCACTGGTTTATGTGTAGTGAAAAGTAATTTTGTTATAGTGTTTGTGGATACGCGTGTGTACTGAACATGGAGCTGCGCCGGCACATGATGCGGCACACGGGCGTGCGGCCCTACAAGTGCCGCGTCTGCGACAGGCGCTTCGGGGACTTCGGGAGTCGGCAGAAACACGAGAGGTGAGAGATGAAAGATTAAAATTAAAATCTGATTTAAAACGCGGCTTGAAACTTGTGAAAAGCGGGATATAGAGCTGAAATCTCGACTTACATTGTAGAAAGGATGATGTAACCGAACATATGTAGGAGGTAGAGTGGAAAAGGACCAAGAATGAATTAAGTTTCAAGTTGCAAAGGCAGAAAAATATATCCATACAATTAAGTCCGAGGTAAAGCCAAAAAGTTTCGTGCATAGACTTAATAGTTTAGATGAAAATGTCTATGTAAGTCGAGATTTTAGTCTACTGTGTCCCACTCTGACCTCGGTAGCCTATGATATATTCCAGATAATCTACCTCTGTTACAAATGTCATCAAAATAACTTTACTTCATAGAAAAGTAGAACTAAATGCTATATATAATATTAATGTAATGTACCAGATTGCACATGGGTCTGCGTCCTTACCAGTGCTCGCTGTGCGGCAAAGCCTTCACCTACTCATATGTGTTGGCTAACCACATGCTCACACACACTGGAGAGAAGAAATACTCGTAAGTATATCTTTATATCTATTGTATCTATAGAAAAATGAAGAAATTGATAATAATTGTGTTTGCTATATATAAAATACTGGATCTTGATAAAAATGAGGTTATTTCTTTTTTGTAACAAAGAATATATTTTTTTATAGATAATTTCCTTAAAATAAAGTCACAATATAAGCATAAAAAGTTTATTTAAATCGATACAGCATTATACATTAAATATAAATTTTTGATCACGTTTTTAGAATTCATAAAAAAATATGTTCAGTACACATAGAAACACCAGGAATGTAGAAAGCCACATAACTGATTCCTTTACAATAACCCACATATGTATGGTCAGTCGATCTGTTCCATTATAACTAAGAACTGAGAATCTGTAGCATATAAAGTGTTATAATAAAAGTGAATGTGAAATATGTAACATATCTGTCTCACTCTTTTACTTCCCTCTCTTGCTTTATAGATCTGTGCTAGTATAAATTTGCTTTGAATATAATGCTTATTAATTAATTGGTTTATTTTATATAGAAAAGTGAATAAAAATCTTTACAGACAAATAACTTGATTTCAGTTGTACACCTTGCAACAAGAAGTTTACCAAAGCACATCACCTCAAGTACCACAATAAAGTACATCACAAGGAACTATACATACAGCAGCAATTAGAACAAGAAGCTAAGAAGATAAGACAGCAGTTAAATATTAACAACCTCTCAGGAGTTATCTCCGGACAGATCGTGGATGGGAAACTACAGCTGGTTAAAGCACAAACTGATGGTAAGTAACCACACATTTAAGCCATAAAAGCATATTGTTGCCAAAAATCTACAAACAAAAGTATAGTTTTTTATTGAAATCAAGATTTTTTTAATTATTTTTCCCTTAATCTGTGACTCGAAACCTTACTGAAATATTTTTTTCATCTATACTATTATAATAAAGCGTAAAAACACATTTCTTTGTTGCCTAAGATGTCAGCAATTACAGAATATTTTTGAATAATGCTTTTTTTAATAAAAAGCCCTACACTTACGCTACGCTTTAGGCTATTATATGTATTAATGTAGCTACATTTAATAATCATATTTCTGAGAAAAATACAATTTGTGTTTTTAAATTTAGATTTCTTGCGAAAATATAATCTGTCATGGCGTCTTCTCTGACGTCACTCCTAGCTGTAAATTAAATGTCTGTATATTATGTTATTGAATACTGAACACTGATTTGTATGAATAGATAGGTTTTGTTTGAAAATGATGACTGTTCCGACTTAAACGCGCTTTTTGATATATAATAGTTAAGTCGATACAACTGGAGTTGACAATCTATTATCTATCTCTTTCTATATTATGTATTTGTAATTCCGAATTCCTGCTCAAAAAAGGACGGAAACACAACATTCGGACAGCTGTTTTAGTAAGAATTACATGTTTTATTTTTATTTATTAAATTGTTAATATTCTTATGTTTATTGCAACCAACAGAGGATGGCGAGGGTGACCAGGAGAGGGAGATGGAGGTGGTTGAGGAACAGGATCTGGACCAGGACGAGGACAGCGATAAGGAAACGAACAGAGCTGTTGCCGACATGAGAGCTGTTAGTATTCATTGATAGGGGATGGATAAGGGAAGGGGAAGAACTTTTGCCCTCTCTAGATAAAGTCCTAGTTTCTGGATTTTTTAAAAGGATTTTCTACCCCTAATATAAATGCAATTGTATTGTAAAATCTAAGGAGGAAGGAGTTTTGTTTTTGTTTGTAATAAGTAAAATAAAATATTACTAAACCAATTTCAATAATTCTTATACGGTTAAAATGCTATATTATCGCTGGAAATATAAGCTAATATAATTACTACATTTCTTTTTAAATTACACGCGGAAGAATTCTCGAACAAAGCCTAGATATTAATTTTCTTTTTTTAGAGTACAATGTTTCAATATATTTTTTTTTATTTCCAGGTAATTCTAGACACAGACTTTTCAATGGAAGATGATGACAGCAAAGAGCAATGATATAAATATAAGATTTATTACTAAAGTAAAATCTCAAATATAAAGTTTCCTATTAAATAGAGATAAAAATGTGTTTACAATCTGACCAGGAAAAAAACTCGATATATAACAAAAATATATGAAATAAGTAATAAAAAAATGATTTTTATATTCCTGGTTAGATACATGGAAACTTATTACAAACCTCATATAATATCGATTATTACATATAATAACAGTAAATAGCCCATAATCAAATTTAAGTATTGTTAGTAATCAAACTAGAATATTTTAATTTGTATTATCTAATATTTAGTTATAGAAATATTAATTTTTACTCTTAATATAATTATGTTGAATTACGCTTAATATTTAGTGAGTAATTGTAGTTGTAGAAATAAATCGTTTTTTCAATCTTAATTGATGTTTGATTTTTGATCCAAAACATTAAAAACAAAAATAAAAAATAACTTAAAAATACCTCCTTTTTCAGATAATTTACAATCTACTATTACTTTATCTACGTTATTTTGCTAATTATCAATAGTGGGTAGTTTGACATTTCTTAAAATATGTTTTTAGAATTGACCGTTAATACGCGGTTTATACTTGTCCAGTGGCAATGAAATTGAACCAATTTACTGATAGTGTGAACGCTAACAGACGCCAGTTAACGGCGCAACTGTCCAACTGTACTGGCTAAGTGTGAACCGGGCAGGCAATTTCGCTAAAATGCAGTGTCGTTTCGCAGTGCTTTATTTTCGTCGCTATGAATTTTACAATAGATGTGTTTATTGGATTTAACCTAACTTTAATCGGAAATAACGCACTAGTACAGTATTGATTTAATTCTGTGATTTAACAAATGGGTAATTTGTGGTGTGAATAGAAATCAAACTTTGCAACTAGAAATAGGTTAGAATTTTTCAATAAAAGGTAATGTATGAAAATTCTTTTTTGTTACGGATTCTTTTTGAAAATGATAACGCTGAACGCAATTTTGTTAGTAAATATTAGCGATTCGTTGCACTTTCTACTACAAAAACTTTCTTAAAGAACAATAGACAACTGAATTTAAATGCTTTAAAGTATTGTTATGATTCGTTAAATACACATTTGCTTTATACACGCGTCAAGTATTAAACTAAGTTTTCAATGTTACTTAAAACCATTTTATAGGTTATCCTAACAAAGCGTTTGTTTCCTTTTTCAAATTTTAAATGCGTTACGCCTGAGCGCCTGTAAGAAATACATAGCAATAAGAGACGGGAGCGTAAAACACTCCCCAGCGGACGATTCCCGTCGGCTTTTTTTTAAATTCGCTAAGCGGCTCACATATACAACGCGCTTATATTAAAAAGTACCATCTCTTGTTTTCATTTTTCTACAAAATTTTATTAAAGTAAAACAAACTTTAGGTGTAAGTAACAAGGACGAATATTCCATTGTTCGCTGCCGGCTAGTTTCAGCAGGGGATATTAAAAGTTGCGCCACCCTTCTAAGTGGGCGATCTTTTTTTCCTTTCTTCTTTGTCCTTAATGTAAAAAGAAAACGCGAAAAGTTTCGGGACGCGGAGAGTTTAAATTTTTCCACCCTTAATGCGCTTATTACGAGTGGGGCAAAATTGAGAGATTCCCAAACTGTATTTACTTTCTCGAAATTTACTACAAATTATTTTAGATAGCTCTTATTCGCGACTCCATCCGCGCGGATTTAAAAAAAAACAAAAGTGCCTATATGTTCTTATTCTATTCTCTACTTCTGTACCTAATTTTATTGAAATCGGTAAGCCGTTTAGGCTACAAACTAACAAACATCACTTCTTGACATCTAAAAACCATCTAAACTTTGGCATTTATAATATTAGTATGATGGCATATTTGTCTATATTTTTAAAACAATTATTTTAAGGAAGACAAATATTTTAAGAATGAAGTTTTAGTACAATACAATAGTATGTATATGTTAGTTGAAATAAACATTACGTTTATCACAGTTTATTTTCGGATTAATATTTTGTTGTAGTTTGAGATACGCAGTCCGCGGCGGTCCACGCGACATACCGTGAGCATGACTGAAGCTTGGGAGGACGCTATTTACATTTTTATTTTATTTACTCGATTCTGTCTCCGCGGGTTTATGTTGTTTTTAAAATTGCAATATGTAATTGAAAAACATACTCTACGGCTCTAAAATACTTTCATTTCTGTTATCTATTACTTTAACAACATTAAATTATTGATTTAATTACAAATACGACATTTATTTTTACATTACTAATTACTAGTTCTTTTATGATGCCGCATTACATGTTCCTGTTAAAAGTAAAACTAGCGATTTTTAGGTTATCTGTCATGTAGTTGGCATACAAAAAAAAGTTAATAAAAACAAAAGAAACGTCAAAAGTCCATTCGCGATTCCACGCGGCGGTGTGCCGCTGTCATTAATGGAGGCAAATGGCGCCCCCTCGCTGTTTGCCGCCTTTTTATTTTATGTACGAAAACTTTTCTTGTTTCATATTTTATTTTCGTCTCAATTATATTAACAAGTACAACGGACATTAAATCTTTTTTGTATTTCCTTAGAATTTGGATTAAAGGCGAAAGTTTCAGTTTAAATTATAGTTGCTTTTCACGCCACAGATTATAAAGTCTAGCTTTGACTTACAAAGACAACTGCTTACAGATGTCGAATATATTTCTACTTAATTAATTATACATCAAGAACTGTAGTTAATTATACCCTTACGTTGACTATGACCGCTACTTAAGTCGCATTTGTATCGAATACAGATTAAAATAAATTTTTCTTTTTAATTTAATTCAGTCATACACACAATCAATAATTATTCCAATTTACTAATTAAATTGACTTTGTAAATGGAATCTTAATTACTTAGGAGTTTGTTTAGCTAATCGAAATCGTTAGCGGAGCTGAATTTTTATGGCTTGTTGACTTCCACCCTTTGGTTTCGGTAATTAAAATTATTGGATCTGTCGTCTTCAGGATTATCCTTGTTTGTTACTGGACATCAAATTTCAATAGTAATTCTAATCAGACTTTAGATTTATTTTATTGGGTTGCACCGATGACAAGAGTACCATCTAAGTTAAATTCTAAAGTTTTGTAATTTACTGGCTTTCGCCCGCGATTCCGTACGCGTGGAATTAAAAAAAAACTAAGTAGCCTATGTGTTCTTCCAGACTGTACTCTACATCTATGCCAAATTTCATCGAGATCCGTTAAGCCGTTTAGGCTGCAAACTCTAACAAACATCTATCCATCCATCTAAACTATCGCATTTATTATACGAGTAAGAAGTAACTAAGAACAGTAAGATTAGAAGATATGCTTTGAGAGTACAATTAATTTGGAGAAAATGATTGTCTTTCCCTTTCTTTCTCCCTCCCTCTCTTTCTCTGAATGAAGCCATCAGTCAATTCGTAGACAGGACCACAATCACATCTGTTCTGTTCAAACAAATTAAATAGAGTTTTGTTCGTTTGTTTGTTTTTCTTTGCGCTTGTTTGTTTCGCCGGGGGCCCGAGTGGCTGTAGATTGCTTGGACAAACAAGCTTGTATGTCAATAGGGTAAGCGATGTCCATGCTAATTGATTGCCTTAGGTTTTTTCTATTGTTTTCTTTTAATTTTATTGTCCACAAATAGTTTATGTCTATTTTGATTTTCTAGTTTATCTCAAGATGGCTTCCTGAAAATCATATCGCGGCGATAATAATTTTTAAAAACAATAATCATTAACTTTATAGCATTGACTCGAGAGATTCACATTTTTAAAATACTAAATAATTTTACTTATAAAACACAAAAATTAAAGACAATGTTACATTCACACAATATAATTATGAAATTAAAATCATCAAAACCCCGTCGCAAATGCGAGCCAGATTGCCGCGAAATTATTCACAAAGCGCCCCCTGGCGAGGACTTGATGATATTGTATTAGGTGATCACATACGAATGCGATCTTAATGGATACGCTCGACTCTCCCCTCATAAAAAAACCCAGCGACCGTAATGCCTTCGTAAAAGAACCCAATTCTCTAGCAATGGCGGCTGACGTTTACGTCATTTCGCGCGCGAATCGGACACCGACCCCAATCTAAATTAAAATCTAAAACCTTGTAAACAAGGCAAGTGCTCACTTTTTCGGGGATTTTAACCCTCCGAATTAACGAGATATAAAAGGGGGGAGGGACTGCGGTTGTTGTCTCTTTTCGGATACGTTTGGGATACGTGGCTAGCTAATTTTTTAGGTAAGCTCACGCTTTAGTAGAGTTGCCAAAAATGTCTTAATTGTTTTGATATTTTAATAGAATAAGAAGGCAAACAAATGAAAATTTAAGCTTAACAATTATTGGTCAATCTTACGGCAAAACGGCAGTAGTGCAGCTGAATGGTTACAGAATGACGAAAAAAATAACCGTTTAAAACTGTGCTTTTATTAATTTATAAATAAAAAAGTAGAAAAAATATAAATTAGTAAAATTTAACAAAAATATAAATCATTTCAAAACGTATTTTTTTTAACTGTCAAAGTTATTACATGTTGAAATGAGGAAAGGGTTCCGGGGTCGGAGGATTGGATTTCATCATGCTCGATGCGACCGAGCACGCTGTAGGGATGTGTACCTCCTTCCTCTGGATGAGGGACTCATTTGATCCCCTTGTGAACGGTTTATCAGTCACTTTCAGTTCCCGCATCTTCTGTAGATTAGCCAAGTTGTTCGCTAACTTGAGCGTAGCTTCTCCATAGAGCTTTTGACCTCGTCGGACCTATAATTATACATAGATCACTAAAATAATTTACAACTATAAACTATAACACTCACTTTTTAATTTTCAACGTATTAAATGTTGATGTCATGTGTATACTACAAATTTCATTAAACTTTTGACTTCTATCAGATTGTAAGCGACGCGTACAAAGCGATACGAAGCGAAGTGTTTAAGTATTTTTGACTCAATACTTAATAAATAATTTAGTGTACGTTTTTTGTATCAGATATGACGGCTGATAGAGATGTATGGAAGAGCAGCACATACTGTGCCGACCCTCCGTAAGGGATAAGGGTAAGGTGATGATGAAAATGATTAAACGTCACCTCGTCATGTAGTTCCGCTCTCCTGTGTGAGACCCACTCAATCTGGTCCTGTATGCGCTTGCATTCGGTCTCGTTGTTGAGCAAATCTGAACGGAGAGATTCCATGACGTCACGGTACTTCTGACGCACGTGGTGGTCTATCGCGTGCAAGTTGTCGATCTCGTTCTGGGTTTCGCGGATCTTCGATTTGGAGATCCGAAGCTTTCCCTCCTAAAAGTGTATTTAGTAGGATCTATGTCTTTAATTGTCACTAATGCTATACCTCACGTAAAGGCAATTCTAACAAACCTAGGTTTTTTTTTTTATTTATTAGACAAAAGCATAAATTTAAAAGTACAATAAGAGACTTTATAAGTGGTACAGAAACCCACAGGATTTATGTGTAACCACTGGTCGCTTAGTTTATAGAATATGAAAAATAATAAAGAAACAACGCTGTTTTTCAACGGTGAAAGAATTTGAACTAAGGTACTAAGGATCACTTATTCTATTTTGGATATATGGATTAATATCTGTACTAATTTATACTAATATTATATTATAAAAGAAGAAATATTTTTTATTTATGTATATATTGAAGTAACTCAAAAAATACTGGGTCGATTTCAAAGACTCTTTCACTATTAAAAGGCTATCTTATCGCTGAATAACATAGGCAATATTTTTTTTAATTTCACGCAGACGAATTCTCGAGCAACAGCTAGTAATTAAATAAAGTAGTTCAACGTAAGAGAACCAAGAAGTTATTTCAATAGTAACCACGATAAGTAAGCAATGCATAATTATTCAAGACTAGCTGTTACCCGCGACTTTCTCCGCGTGAAATAAAAAAAATTTAGCCTATGTTACTCACATATAAATTACCTTTATAATGGTGAAGGATTTTTTTAAAATCGACCTAGTAATTTTTGCGTGAATCAAATACAAAAATTTAAAAATACATATCTCTCTTCTTCATAATATTAGTATAGGTACTTTACTCCACAACAAGCATTACTACTTCTATCTCTTCCATTCTGCTTACCTTCTCAGCAAGCTTGCGAGTGAGCGCATCTAGATGGTCGTCGAGGCTGTCCTTCTGCTCTACGGCGAAACGTTGAACCACGTTGTGGTGAGGACACAGCCGGTGGACCAGCTGCACCGGCACGCTCGGCGTGAAGGTCGGCTCCACATGCGTACGGGGGGACTCCTGGGGACACTTTTGAGTCTAGACTTGGTACTACAGAGTTCTGTACAGAGATATAGGTGCTAGTTTGCCTTTCGATAAGTTATGGTCTGTTATAAACCGCTAATTTAGACGTTTTGAACTCAATGAAGTTTAAATTCGATTAAATTATTTTTGCATGTGTATAGTAAGGATTGTGCAGTGTGTAGGTTTCGATATTACAGTCGAGTCTACTAGAGTCGTTACTAATCTTGTTAGCATTGCAAAGAGTAGTTTAAAAATCTATAAACAGCAAATGTTGACATTGTTTTTCAATACATGAATCTGTGATCTATGTTCTTGCTTCGTATCATTAGGAAAACATAGAAACGTACAGTCCAATAAGGAAAAGCCTTTGCATAATAACTTAGATAGCACTGAGTTGCGCAAACTTGATAGTACTTTATATGTTTTAAGTAGTGCGCAGTTTACACTTGGCCAGTTAGTCAGTAGCCCAAAAACTAGACTGTCAATCAACTGATAGTGTGAACGCTTGCACCAACTGTCGTGACTGTCTTATTGTACTGGCCGAGTGTAAACCGGGCTTTATATGTAATACTATATTGTAGAAGAAATATTAATGCGAACCTCTTTCCATGATCGCTTATAAAAGAGTAGAGCCAAAATAATAACCAAGCCGATGCTTAAAACAACCGCCGTGTACATTGCCTGAAGGAACCTTGTCTATCATTCTATCCAGTCTACAATTAAAATTCAGTATTTCGGAAGTTATACATTTTTGTGGCCTAAACAGAGATTTATCACTGACACTGAGATATTTTTATCGATTTTTTTGACAGACCATGACAGATTTTTCGTTTTATTTTCCACCAAACAGGTTTTAATTATTTAAAAATTAAAATAACAATCTTGAATGGATATCGGTTTTAGAACATCATCATTAACTTGCCCTTATCCCTTACGGAGGGTCGGCACAGTATACTGCTCTTCCATCTATTTCTATCAGCCGTTATATCTGAATCCACTCCCTTCTTAAGCATATCCTCTTTCACACAATCCATACTTTTTCGGACTTCCTCTACCTTTGTAGCCATCCACATTCATTCTTAACACTTTCTGGTAACATGTAGTTTAATGTTTACTTAATAGCGCTTAGTGTAGATTTGTCAATGTAAATTGACACAAACGTACTATTTTCGTGATGAATTTGATATCGACTTATTTGTTTCCGATGCAGTTGTTTTTTTCTAATAAAAATTTTACGTTTTTTCTATAATTATCAATCCTCTATGTACTACGCAATAGTAGATATAAAGCGTACGAATTGAGAATAGTCAACAAAACACAATAGCGGTCATCCATCACGCCTGTTCACGACTCAGGTGACGAGACTTGATGGATTTCATTACGTATTCTCATAGCAATAAAATATCTAATAGCAGACATTTTATACAATAAATCCACATTTTAAAGTTAATTTATCAAACACTGTACAATATGAATAATTATAATAGAACTACATATTACAATAGGTTTTCACTATCGTAAGCGATTTAAACATATATTGCCAACGTTTTCTGTCATAGATATGTTCGTATAATATGTGTCACGATAGTTTAATCTCTACGTTAGAACGTGTATGTAGACATATATTCATATGTCGGTTAAAACTAAGTAATTAACTTTACTTATTATAATACTCTTAGATAAAATTAGACACAACACTAAAATCGTTTAAACCACTTTCCAACTTAAACTCTCAGAACATTTACATCTACATTTAATTTTATCTTGTACATATTTATCTACATTGTTTGCCCTGTTAGGTTATCAACAAGCTAACTTTCATTCCTCTATTTTACATGTTTTAAAGTCTATTTTCTTGTACACATAGCAATAGACATTTATCGTGTATGTAGTAATACAACACGTAATGAGACCTCCAATCCGCCCCTAGGTCTGTGCGAGGCAATTACGCACCGATAGCGGGCTACCGGGATATCGGGACGCGGGAAATAATTGAATGGGGATCGTTTTCTAATTGATTGTTTCTGGCCGAATGATTGATATGATAGAACGATTACAGCGCGCCCGCGTGCGATAACCGAACTAATTAGTTACGCTACGTTTTACCATTGATGCAAAACTTAATCAAATTAACTTTAATTATTTTGTATACTGGACCAGATTTGTTTAAAGTTGTTTAACACGTTTATTGCTACCAGTAAAATTAAAATTCTTCATCTGGTGCGGTGACGGGCCAAAATGCGCCCCCAATGATATTTCCGCCAGTGCGTGGCAGGTCTTTTTAGACCCACCAGCACTAGTATAGAGTAAATTGCTATAACTTTGTAGAAACATAACGTATACGTTTTATGCAATGTAATGTACATCTGAGACAATCGTTTCGCTAGCGAGAGGGACATAGTTTTTATCGTCCGCACCAGATTAAATACCGCGACAGGCCGATAACGGCCTGTTACAGAGTGAGCGTTTAGTTTAGTCTTATTGTCTTTATTGTGGATTTTTAAACTCTAAACCAATGAAATGTGTTAACTAGAGAAGCAATAACAACAGAAACGTATTAAATTAGTACTACGATACATTTTTACACAACATTTATAGACAAATATTTTGTTTACCTTTGATAGTATTTTTTTCTTTATTGTCTTAATATTTTAACAGATTTAAGGTTTTGTTTTAGGTTAGGTAGAGCTTGTTTATACCAAAAATTATGCTTTATCAGATATCTACTCATTTACAAATTTCGAGATATAATCGAGTTGATTTCATAGTAGTGGTCTAATATTTGGTTCAATGCTTCGCCGTTGCATTTTCCTTTACAATTGCAGTATCCAATCGCTCAGCATTGCTTCAGTTCTATAATACTATATCCAATTACAACAGACTTATGAATACGGATACTCCAATGACTATTTTAGCGAGATTAGGTCTTATTTTGAATTAACGCCTTGATTTTGTAAACAGAGAATTGTCTGTTGTTAATGTTTATTGGGTCAAAGAAATATAATAATTTGCAGCAACATCTTACTAATATTATAAATGCGAAAGTTTAGATGGATGGATGTTTGTTAGAGTTTGTAGCTTAAACAGGTGAACGGGTTTCAATGAAATATGGTACAGATGTAGAGTATAGTCTAGAAGAACACATAGGCTACTCACTTTGTTTTTTTTTTAAATTCCACGCGGACGTAGTAGCGGGCGAAAGTTAGTTTGATAAATAAAAACATTGATTTCTCTTTACGTACGTAGTTATTGAAACAATCTCTACCAATAAGTACAAACATGTCCCATAATGAAGTAATTAACGCTAACCGGCCCAATTGCCGCCACATTTGACATTAAACGCTGCGTTCAAAAACGGAACGTCATTTGGTTCGTTCGCCGCTACGTTCCGTTTCACTTGCAACGCGATCAAAGAGCATAGCGTTGATGTCGGCGCACAGCGTTAGATTTACAGCTTACGGAAGCTAATTAAGTGGGTGTGGGATGGAACGCTCTTCACGGGCCACTAGTAGCGCGATAAATAAATTTCTAGAAGTGTTTAGTGGAACAAGCCAGGCCCTTATTAAAATGTGTACTTTTTCTTTGCTGTTATAGTCTGCTATAAGATATATCTATTTTTAAAATAATCAATAGCAATCTCTAAGTTACATGGTAATTTAAAGTTTTTAATTAGAATTTTTTTTCACATCAAACTAATATTATAAATGCGAAAGTTTAGATGGATGGATGTTTTCGAGAGTTTGTCGCCTAAACGGCTTAACGGATTTCGATGAAATTTGGTAAGCATTCCGAAAATACGATTACAAAAAAAAAGTCTATGACATTTTCCAAATATGCGATGAACTTGTATTAATTGCGATGCCTTAGTTTCGTTAAAAAGGAATTACAAAAACAAAATTCAAATCGTTAGCATTCTATAATACTACCAGAATATCTTTGTCACATTTTATGTGGTCATGCGTGACATACCTCACACCGATCTATTGAACATGCCGCTTAGTAGACAGCTTTTTTTTCTTTTTTTCTTTCGTAATTTGTAACTAATTATTAAGCAAAAACTATCGGCTTCCTTTTGTATACCAGATGGTGACATTTCTTACCACATGTTTGATTAATTAGGCAATGGAAGGACACCAATTAAAAGTGTTACTTTTTAGAGTATTAATACATACATTATTTTAATAGCTTACTTTTATTGTAACTGAAATTATGATAATATTAATTGATTCTAAAACAATCAGTATTATCTATACTAATATTATAAAGCGGAAAGATTTCTATTTTTGTATGTATTGAAATAACTCAAAAACTACTGGACTGATTTAAAAATTCTTACACCATTAAAAAGTTATGTTATCACTGTTACTGTGACAGTTACATAGGCTATATTTTTTCATTTTTTTTTAAATTCACACAGACGTATAGTTAAAAATAAGGAACAATAATGAAAGTTACGTAGTTATATTTATCTGTTTTATATTTTCAGTTTTCTAGATAGCTGCTGTGCCCTCTCTTTGACACTAAAAAAGTGAGAAAAAATGTAATTTAAATGGTTTATTGTAAAAGAAAAGTTTAATGCTTGAATCTTCGTCATTTGGTTTTATTGTAATACAAACTGAGACGACAAATTCTACAAAAAATTCAAAATGGCCGTCAGTTGGAACGACATCGCGCGGTTTCTTTCCGAGTATTACTAACATTACCATACTTCAGGCGGCGAGGCTTATTTAAATGCTCCACCGACTCCATTTAGAGCTTGGAAAAATAAAACCGGCGAACGGATCCCGCGATCTCTCGCTGAGCCGCTTTTGTGGTAAATATGTATAAATCTACCAAAATACAACCTGCTTTCAACAAACTTACTCTGAGTTCGATTTTCAACCTTATTTCGTTATACGTGTATTTCGCTCAGTATAAAATGAAGTCCAATTGAGTTTTTGTGCGTATGTAAGCGTCTACGTTTTGTCGACGGAGTCTTTTCATTTTATTACTTTTTATTCGTAAGCTCAGCTGCCAGCCGTGTTGTTTGTGGCTGTAGAAATATCTTTTGCGCGTCTACCGTATGCGTAAATATCTCTTACATTATTCAAAATGCTAATTTGTTTAACGCGACTCCTCTTCGAATAAAGTTTTTATCTCGGATATAAAATACGATTAACGCTCAATTCTAGAAAGAGATCCTTGAATAGGAAACAAAGGGAGAATTAAGTAAACGATTAAAAGGAGCCCCGGGAGCCGCACGTTCCAACAATG